GGAGGGAGGGAGGGAGGGAGGGAGAAAGGAAGGAAGGGAGGAAGGAAGGAAGGAAGGAAGGAAGGAAGGAAGGAAGGAAGGAAGGAAAGAAGGAAGGAACTTCTTAGGTATCATGTCATCACAAATAATAATTGTCCTACTGGGACAGCCTTAGGAGCCCCAACTGCCATAAGCAAACCAAATTCTACGTGAAAAGGTAGCCCGGGTCCTATGAAGCATACTCCTTTGTGTTTAGGGGTTGTTTACATTTATGGAATTCTCTGGAACCACAGCATCCTTGATGACAAGAATGGGAATGGGAGCAATGGAACATTCCACTGAGGGCCTAGGGGAAGGCCACTGGTCCAAATAGGAGGCTATGAGAAAGGAAGATAACAAAATATTAAAAAAAAACCTCACTTTTATGAATGTGTTTAATTCTTTTTACTTAAAAATATACCTAGCCATATCTCAAGGCAGAAGCTTTGATATGTTCAAAATGTAAAACAAAACTACCCATTTAATATCATACATGGAGTTAAAACATGTGGATACATTTTATTAAGTGTTTATTTTTCCTACCAAAAACATAAAAATAAGGCAAAAAATAAACAAACAAAAAATACAGCCCCTGCTGCACTAGTAAAAAACTCAGTCATGGATTTCTCCCCCTACAATATGATACTTTATTCTGTATCCTAGTAAACACTGTTTTAAAAAAATTTATACAACTGATTCTGCATGTTCCAACTACTCAGAGTACTCCGCCTTACAGTGCAACCCAAGACAAGTCAACTACACTAAGTATTTGGGAGGTATACCCTTCTGTACAGCTCGTTTGTAAGCAATGCAAGTGCATAACCACTACTCTAATATAGTGCTCAAAAGATTAATTGAAACTTTCATCACATCTTCCCTCCTATAACAATACAACTGCAGGTAATTGCCGGATGCATCATAATCTTTTCTTCTTGTGAAACTTGGCATCGAGTCTCTACTGAAAGATGCATGGCAAAACATGCCACCGCTGTTGCTGCTTCTCGAAACAACTGGCAAAAAATATTTAAAGCTAAAATTTATTGCTCCAGATTTAACTCGCAGAACCATACTGTTGTGTACAAACTGTTAATCTCCATAGATGCTCAGACGTGATTGTCTCCTTGTGTCTAGACACACAAAATACAAGCTGCTATCTGTACAGTTTACAGTACTGAAACACATATATTTGAAAATGAAGTATAGATATGTACTTTGCAAAGATACATGATTTTACAGCAGGGGTTTACCCAAACTTATTTTTTACAGCCACTTTCAAAATAGACAACAACTTCACTAGTATAGCTAAATTACATCAAAGAATCAGTGTATCCAAAGTAAATAGACTGGCCAATTCCCCGAGCTCCCAGATTATTTTGATATGTCTTTTTTTCTTTTCTTTTCCTCTTTTTTTTTTTTTTGAAGAAACCCCTATACATAAAATGAAAATAATATCTGGATATTTTCTTCAGTGGTGGACTAAGCAGTTCCTTAAAACAAGACATTAATTTGCCCTTCACTTCCAAATGCCTTGAAAATAAGATAGACTACTGCTTTAAAAGAACCATCGGAATGCTTCGGCGCTGGGAACAGGTGTTCTCTATAAAAAAAGAGCAAGAAGACAAGTTAAGCTTACTTTCTATGCCAATATAAAATTAGAATTTTCTCCTTTATTCTTCAGCAATAGTTTTAGTCAGTAAGGTACAACATAATGACTTGTATATTTCAACATTTAATAAAAAAATAGATGGTCAATCTTAGAACACTACAAAAATTAGAATGTTGAATTTAATGCTAACTTACTAAATATAATGATTAAAACTCATTGGTCTAAAAAATAGAGGAAACACAGTGTAGAACAGGGATAGCTATTAGAATGAATGGGATGGTTCATGCCATTAATAATAGGAGGACCAGCTAGCAAGTGTCCTTAAAATCTGTACCTGCTACAAACACATGCACCCTCTGTAAGACCAATGTTTAGAACTCAGTGAAGTAATTTATTTTTTGTTCTGGAGAACTTCTTTTATGACAAGACCACAATAAACATTACATAAATATTACTTCTATCACTTAACAACTATTAATGCTAAATATTCCTACAGATAATCTAATCAGAACTAGACTGACAAAATATATCACTATTCTAAAGTAAGTCTGCATATTCAATAAATTAATATCATCTATATGAAACAAACTTATACTAACCAATGATTCTCAATGGACCATAACTACCCTTTTGTACCATAAAAATACTACCATATTCCAAAGGAATAATAAACTAACACCAAAAGTTTGAGCAACCATTTCAACAAAAAGCTAATAGTTACAATGGGTTTTTTTATTCAATCGTAGTTAAACTATTGAATTTTCCTCTCTATATTAACATTATAGCAATCCATCATGCCACACTCTTTTTTATAAAACAGAATCCCATAGGTACATATTGAAGGTACATAAGAAACAAGCTAAGAGGAAATTTTCTTATAAGGGCAAATGAGAGTTAATTTTATTCCTTGTTAAACTAGTCCAACCAGCCTGTGTAGACTATAAGATGGCTGCTGAGGATAAATACGTAAATTAATTGTATGTTGACTGTTACAAAAATATTGAGTTAGTATAGAAGAACATGTACACACACACACACACGCCTTATAGATTGTTAACATACAGTGTTAATAATATTTGAATTTCGTATTTCAGAAAATACATAAAAAGTCCTACCACAAATATTTTTTGATAACTGGTTAGCTTTTATTTACTTTCTCACACATGCCTTATTCGATTGATACAGTTCTGTAGTAATGTCATCTAAAAATAAAAGTGTACTAATTGATCAAGATGTTAATTGAAATTTAAATATATAAAATAATCATTTTGGAAAGCAAAACTGTTTTCACTACCTGTACTTAAAATATTTTTTTATAAACTGTCCTCATAGCCAACACAATAAAGTTCAACATGAATGTGGTAAGAACAAACTAATGGTATCTAATCCCAATTTGCATATAGGTATATATGTATAAACCAAAATATTTAACTTGTGAAGTATTTTCTGAAAGCACAAACTAAAAGGTTGTTGCTCCCACAAAAATGCTACTTATCTTACTAATCTTTTACTCCCCACTCCTTATGGTTTCATCCGTTTCCTTCTCTTCAGGTCACTGTGCATACCTGTAGCCCTCGTCGTTGCTTGGTTTTTGAGAAAAAAACCTGTTTACTGCTTTCTACGCTTAACTTTTGAATGATAAATGTAATAAGGATAAATGTTCCTACATGCACTTAACCATTATTAAAGGAACTATGAATAAGAAACAATATATTCATTCTAATATTTATGCTTCACACACACACACACACACGCACAGTAAATACAAACTTAGTTTGTAACAGATGCTAACTTGCTGCCTGATGCCAACTAAGAATAAATTTTATTTATGTATGCATACTTATATAAATGTAGTCATTTTTAACAAGTTAGATCCAAGCATATCCATGCAATTACAGATTCACATATGAAAAATAAAACATGTGCATTTATATTCACATATATTCACATTTACATGTATGGTATATGACATAGAGATGCCAAATTTACTCTCAGATGCCAACTGGAAACAAGATTGTAAATATATGCTTATATAATTTTATATCTTGATAAACATGTTTATGAAGATAAACAAAAAAATACATGGAATACATTTTCTAATGAGATGAACTCCTTATGTCTTAGATATTTTAAACTTTCTTTTCCAGCTCTTTGCTCTGCCTGTTACCCTTTCCACTACTCACTGTTATTTATAATATTTTTTAAAAGACAGCTTTATAAAATGCCACCTGGGCTGAAAGGTCAATGTTGTGAGAAAAAAGATAAGCACTTCTCAATGCTTGTTGGCACAAAAATTAGATAATGCAATGAGAGAAGCAGAGAGCTGGTTTTCTATACTAACAAGATCTGTCACAAAACAGCTCTGTGATGTGGGCATATTACTGTGCATACGTTGAAACCAGCATATATCTCTACATAAGGATATGGACAACCCACTGCCCCAGGGAAAGGAAGAAGGTAAGCAGGGAAACATCTCTTAAAAAATATTTCTCTCTTATATTAATATCTTTGATTGAGGTCATACAGCTTAAAAAATGATTAGGTGGGCACCATTTAGAACAAATTTTCAAGGCATTCACTAGAAACTTGAAGTGATACTTCTCTAACAGTTTTACTAATAAAGAGTAACAAAGCTCCTTAGTGCCCCATAGGCCACAAAACACAGGATGCAGAGCCAATCTCCTGCCCAAATTTTACTGGGCTCATTGGAAATTTATGTTAGGCCTGGACTAAGTTCTTTTCAGGATGGGTGAAGCAACACTGTAATATATTAGATTAACATCAGGCAACATCTTGGGTTAAATTACAGGTTTCTGATTGTACTAATTTGGGGATATATCTTCTCTAATTCTGTCAGCGGATGAGGTCGTCTTTATCAGAGGGTTTCCATTTTCAATGGGTGGGAGCTCTGGGGACCAACGTGGGGGATTGGGGACCAACGTAGCACCCCGACCAGCTAGCTACCTTTGGGTTATATAAATTCAAGAGTCCCAGCTGGGGAATCACACTCTTGATGAGATTACAGTGACTTTCTGGATCTCAGTGATGCTTGCAGGAAATCGTTATCCTGAGTGACAGGAAAGCCAGATTCCCCAGGAAGGGAAGGGGGCGGGAGGTAAAGAATAGAATTGAGTTGATGGGCATTGTTCAAGGCAGCCTTCACTGCTCATGCAGGTGCAAACACTGACGAACAGCAGCGTTGCTCCCAGGAGGCCTGGGGAGCAGTCTGCAGCCCCCCTTTCTCTTTCCGGTTCTGCTGTAAAGCATCGTGTTCCAGAGAATTCATCCCTATATGAGCCAGATATGAAATGACCTTCAAGCTTAAGTGAATGCCTTCTGTTTCCCTCCTAAATAACCTTAAAAAGCCAGCACATTTCTTTGAATAGAAGAATGATATAATCCAAGTCCAAGCACATTTTACATTTACTTTTATATTTGAGAAAAAGAAGAATACATATCCATGTCCCTGGAAGAAATGTAATTCGGTTTGATTTTCATCAAATCAGCAATGAAGAAATAATTAAATGACATAAAATAAATAAGATTCCCAAAAGCTGGCACTTTAAGGATTAAGCATGTTTCTTTTTTTATTGGTGCCTGCTAAGCAGTCACAGGGACTATGATATCTTCTGGCTGATCAGGGCTTTACATTTTCTTGTTAAAAATATATCAAGCTTAATAAAAACTTACCTCCTAAAAAGTGAATTTGGAGTATCTACAACTTTGTATATATGAACTATATTGGATTGGCTATTCCTATCTAGATACAATATGTAAAATGTAGCAGTATTCTGGACACAATAAAATGCATTATTTTTAATAGAGCTAGACATGAGTTTTCAAAAAGCAGCTCAATGTTAAAATTTACTTCAGAATGCATGTTATAAATTGAGATAATAATTATGACATTAGCAAATTCTGTAACTAAAGTTAAATATATCTTTATATTTACTCAGACACTTTGAAATCCAAAAGTCTCAATGATTTGCCTATGCCTTCAGAATTCTACTGTGAAACAGAATGACTCTAACGCAGTGATTTCCACATGGAAGTCAGTATTTTAAAGCACCAATATTCTTACACTAATTAAAGAATAATTTCCTACAATCCCAATTTTATTAATAAAAGAAATATGTCAATCAATAATTTTCTGATTCCCATATATAATGATGCTTACCTAACCAAAAGCAAAGACATTTGAAACTGTACTTAGCCAGTGCAGCCTCTTGTAAACTATTTTGAAATACTGTTCTCACTATGAGAAGTTCCACTATACGTTTTTAAACTCTTGGACATCCAAGGCCTTGGAATTGGAAACACTGCTGCATTTGATTTGCCTCTTCATGCCAGAATTTGAAAATCTTAACGAACCACTGAATGTGGCAATAAAACGTATCTGAATCAATATGACCAAAGATAATAGTAAGTCCCATTGCTTGCTTTTAGATATTTGATTATATTTGCTTCAAACTTTTGGATTTTTTAGATGAACAAAAGGAAAAGAATCCCGGGTGGTGGGAAAAAATACTTTTTTCATGATTTAATTCACAATGATGCTAAAATATCAAGTTATTTAGGTTAACCATTTTACTGACAAAATTTCAAAACCCTTTTACTGACAAAATTTCAAAACCTACCTGGCTAAATGGAAAACTGTATATATA